AAAAAAAAAAAAATCGATATTATGATCCTCCGTGCTAGACTAATTTCTAATTGTTATCAATGAATTGGTCATGATGTTTCACCTTCTTTATCTTTTAACTTTTTATTTTTTATGGTATTTATACATTAAGCAATGATATAATTTATACTTTCTTTATATGATTATAATGATAATTAATGAACACTTCATAATGTTATGCATTTATATAGTGAATAATTCCTATTTGGTAGGTGATTAACTTTTATTTTGTAATTTTTGTAAATTTTACCATTTTATTAACTTATATATAAGGTTTGTTACTGTATGAAAAAGTGATGGAAGAATGAAGAAAAATAACCGTCTCTCTATATATGGTCTTTTAACCTCCATTTATTTTTTTATTTTATATTCTTTTTCTACTTGTTTTCTTTCTTTAACAACACTAATGAGCTAATTTAACGTAACTATATGAGAAAATGATTTTTTTTTTTTAATGAAGCACCCTCGGAATTCATTCCTACTCTACGGTGTAGGGCTACCGCTTTTTTTTTTCTTTTTTTTTTTTTGATCTTAGGGTTACCACTTTTTAAATCATCAATTTTTATTTTTATTTTTTTAACATAAAAAATTTTTAAAAGGAAATTATAAATAAAAAAATGAGATTCGAATTCTATACCATAAAGTAAGACTGTTCTTCACAATATATTGGATTGTTGCTTGGGCATAGGACTTCTCAAATCATCAATTTTTAGGTTTAGAAAGCAAATATGAAGAGTACTACATAGAACGTGAAAATTAGCTAAAAGGGCATATTGCATTGTCCCTTTGCTGGACACTCTCAATAATACACACATGCACTGTCTTTAATTCAGGTTACAATTTTTTTTTTTTTAGGTTAACAGGTTACAATTAGTATTGTATAAAAACAAAAACAATATACTTGTGAGAAAAAAAAAAAAGGATTATTAATGGATTATTTATTTGTGATGATTCACTAATGGTATTTAAATTTTTTATAAATATTTTTACATTTAAATAGGGTGGTTAAAAATTGGCATCCCTCAATAAAAATGATTAAACAAAAACTAATATTAATCCCTAACAGTAACAAGTCATCTCGTTTGTATCACATTAATAGTGTGGACAAAACACTAAAGTATCTTATACCTGAATAGACTCCGACGTGTAAATCCAATTAATAATTAAGACAAGAATTATGGGATTCAAACACCATCCACTTAAGTAATTCTTTTCATCTCAAAAGATTAAGTCACTACTACATGAGAAGGAAAGATTAGTACTGTACCAACGATTTATTGGTCCGAGTGGAAAGAGGTCGGTTCCCTTTAAGTAAGGTCTCGAGTTCGAGTTTTGTGAATAGAGAAACAGGCGCTGAGAGAGCTCCTAGCGCTTCTCTTTAATGGGGTCTGACGCGGCTCAATTCCAGATTAATCAGGATTCAAAGTGGTTATCGGATACTGGGGGTTAATACAAAAAAAAAAAAAGATTAGTACTGTAAAGAGGGTTGGGAGGAAATTAAGGATGCTAAAGTTGCTAAAGTTATGGAGGTGTGACTGTGTGGTGTTCCTCATGAGTATTGCTGTCTCGATCCTCATGAATATTGCTGTCTCGATGGTGACGGTTTCTTTCGCCACAAGTTGCTCCGCAACTGCCTTTACCATGCTTCTTTCGTGAATTCTCCCCATCTTTTCCACTTTATAAATGACACATAATATTCCTTCTTTCTCACACACACACAATCTCAGAGGTTGATTAATTTCCATGGAGCTCAAATCCACCGTCTCCGCCGTCTTCCTCCTCCTGCTCCTCCTCGCCACCCCTCGCATCTCTAGAGGTATGACAGCTAATGTCAATATGTAAGTTGCAAATCATACTTAATTTTATAGTTAAAGAATTGATGGGTATGATTGTTTCTTGGGGTTAAAGGGAGCTCGGCTACCCCGGCTACGGAGGTGCATCCTATTGATACGGAGGTGTATCCTATTGATACGGAGGTGCATTCTATTGATACGGAGGTG